ACACGTTCAGAATATAATATAATATAATATATATATTTTAGCAAGATACATAAAATTAGCACATTTGACGACTCAATAAAAAAAAGTTCGATATATATACACCGCACTTCTTCCTTTGTGTATGAGATGAGGGAACTGTAACTGTTGGATTTTTTTGATTTCACCTAACAAACGATATCCAGAATAAATATCTTCCAACTCAAATATTTCTCCAAGCAATAATAGTTTGAATCGTTGATGTGAAATGGGACGTGCCAGTTGTTTATTTCATCCATAAAACTGTGTACTGAACTGTGAGCTGACCAATAATCTATTGCTATTTGTTTTTCATGAAAGTCAATTATTATCAATTTTGAAAACAAAAAATGATGGTGGTAGCCAGTCGAGAGTAGACCTTCCGCATCACGACGATGCGGTGTTGCATTTATCTTACCGCGGCTTGTTATAGAGCCAGCAGTGACTCAGGAGATCGAACTGGTGAAACGGATTCAAGTGCATTCAGAATCTGCCATGTTACACTCATGAACACGAGGAACATTAGCGTATCACATGAAATGGTGAGAAATAAATGAACATATTATTCCTGAATGGCTAAGATTCAATGGTCTCCTAATAGCCTGAAACCTTCCATTTATTCATTGTCGAATGAGTAGGTAAACTTCGAATCCAAAATTGACGCGCATGAATGGCACCTCACACCTGAACTCAAATTCTTCACAGCTGAATGATTATACAAAACAATGCATGATTCCATTCGATCTATATACTTGCTCAGTTGAGTCAATTTAAATAGATTATTAATCACCCACAAACTCACCGATGAAAAGGAATACTTTCAGTATTATCAATCATGGAATTCTTACAGCAGATAACAAACTACTTCATATTTCCTATGATTGGCGAAAATGAGACGGAAACATTATTATCACTACTTGATTTGATATTATAATTTCATCAAGCCGATCCCTGACATTAATAGAACACTTGGGACGACGCCATCCGCCTTGCTGCCGCCTACGCACAAAATGGATACTATGAGCTGATTTCGATACCACGTCAAAGTCATGAACGACAGCTTGGGGGTTCTTGCATGTTGAGCAGAAGCATTTCCAGGCGAGCAACTGACCCAACATTTACGAGTTGCTGCGTCATGACCACTGACAGTCTAGATAGTGTAATAAGTCGGTGAACGTTAGTTACTTTTTTCAACTCGCTTCGTTTTTAGGATACAGAGCCAAATTGAAAACGTTGCATTTTGATACACCCTGTATCTCAGCTATCATTCGATTTGTCGTAAAAGTAGAAACCGTCGCTTATATATTTTTGTAGGTAGAATCTAGCGGTGCAGTCAGATTTCCAGAATTAGCTGTTATTATTCAGATATGTTATGTTTTTCAAGAGGAGCACCCTATGAATTATTTTATATTTGAAAAATTTATGCTCTGCGCAATCTAAAAATGTGTGGAACATGAGACATTTCGAGTATCGTGAATTCAGATAATTTCTAGTTCTACAGTGAATATTTCATCGATGGACCCCGTGAATATTTGCAACATTGTCCATATCTCGGATTCTTATATTTATCTTGTTGCTGATGCCAAGTTTCTTCAGGCACTAGTTCTCATTTTACCGCAACATTCAGCATTCTTTTATATTCAGCGCTATATTTATTTAGTATTGAATTTGTGTGCCCAATTAAGAAATGGCTATGGAAAGAAACCGATTGCATAATGATTTATAATCTCTGTCACCTTCCTGTCAAATTTTCAAAATTTTCATACAACGGCAAATGATAATCCAGGATATTGAAACCACGAAATTGTAGAAACCAACTCATGTCCCAATCATATCTAATTTTTTTTTGTTTTTATATCCGAGATTATTATTCATCATCGTATAAAAAATTTGTAAATTCGACAGGTAGTTGACAATAAGGATTAAAAACTTTTATATCCATGATCATATCGATTCATCCTCATTACTCTCTCTGATTGATTTCAATGTACCACGATCCGTGTCAAGATCAGATATAACGTTCCGCATTGCTGTGCCCAACACTCAACATCACTTCCCAGATAGCACAAATTCCTTTTGAGGCCCTTCTGAGGCGTTCACAATCATGTCCTCAGGACGTCGAGAGCGAGCCTGAGGACATTCTCAAGACGTCCTCCTGTTACCATTCTCTACATACTAATAACGTCTCAGAACATCCCTATAAAATCTTTTGAGACAACCTCAGGACATCATGGTAACAACTTGAGGCGGTTTTTGATGATGTTTCAAGGAGGTTCAAGATTTATGGGAGAATATTATTCGTATACAGAATGAGTCACTATAGTGTGTTCTCCTCCGATATTAGCCAAACCGTCAGATATATAAAATGAAAATTCAAGTACAACAGTAATAGGGTTTCATAAGAACAATCACCTAAAGTTGTTTTCATATCTATAGGGTGTTTGAATTCCAAGATATCGGTTGATGATTGGTTTTTTTCAATGGAACACCTTGTATATTATTGCATTTTTGAGTTTTCCCTGAAGAGTTAATTCCATCAATGCATCACACTTGGTGTCTAGTGGGAATTATTACAGAGATATAGGGTGTTTTGACCAATATTGAATAGTTTCCACAAAAAAAAATCCTAAAATTGAAAAATCTTGTTTTTGAACACCCTATATCTCTGTAATCATTTCCGCTAGACCCCAAGTGTGATGCATTGATGGAATCAGCTCTTCAGGAAGAACCTGAAAATGCAATAGTATACAGGGTGTCCCATTTGGAAAAAACAATCATCAGTCAATACATCTTGGAATTCGAACACCCTACAGATATATATATGAAAACAATTCAATGTGAAAGTTCTCATGAAACCCTATCTCTGTTGTACTTGAATTTACTCCATTTATCTGATGGTTTGGCTAATATACAAGGATAACAAACTATTGACTCACCTTGTATTATGTAAATGATAATTTCTCCAAAATAATATGGATCTCATGATATTTGCAAAATTTCCCTCTATTTATAATAGGTTCAAATGAAAAACCAAATGAAAAACTTACATTCTATTATTTATAACTTATTCTGAAAAATTTCGATTTCCTTTTCAAAGAAATGTATTTCAGCTTCTTGTTGAGCACTACTAGAAGTTATTGCCTATTGATAGTTATATTTCTTCATGTAGTTTTTGATTTCTGAACTCTGGACATTCCTGATGCAGAATAATCAACTGGAAGTTGAAGCCTTCATGCAATATTTTATAGATTCTGAAGAAGCAAAATTATCTTGGAATGAAAATATCATCAGGTTTGTGTTTTGCATAACCTTCTGAAACAAACAATGTATTAATATTTCATGTCCAGTATCTATCAATGATATGATTTATGTAGTTATAGTTACCAACCATTATTGAATCTACTGAAAGTGCAAGTCTGCATATGTACAATCTTTCATAATTTCCAAAGAAGCCAAAATATCTTGGAATAAAATATCTCTGCTCTGATGATATCATCATTTTGTGTTATCAATAACCTCCTGAAACAAATAATGTACCTATTAATATTTCATGTTCCAGTCCCTACTATATCAATGATTTGATTTAGGTACCTACCTTTATTGAATATACTGCAAACATGCATAGGCAATCTCACATAGATTTCGAAGAAGCCAAAATATCTTGGAATGAAACATCTCTGCTCTGATGACATCATCAATCTTGTGTTCTTAATAACTTCATCTAAAACAAATAATTAACCTATTAACATTTCATGTCCAGTACCTACTATATCAATGATTTGATTCAGGTACCTACCTTTAATGAATTCATACTGAAAGTTCAAGCTTCTATACAATATTTTATAGATTCCAAAGAAGCAAAGCTATCTTGGAATAAAACATGTTTGCTATGATGATATCATCAAGTTTGTGTTCTCAATAACCTCCTGAAACAATAAATAATGTATATGAATGTATCAATATTTCATGTCCGGTACTATCAATGATTCTATTTAGTATTTACTCACCATTGTTTCTTGCTACCTGAGAGAAATGTCATCAACATAGATTATCATCCTTTTGTTATTGTTATCTTTTAATTCTGTGCAATAAGTTCTTCTCGCAATCATTTTGTAAAATAGAAATTTGATGAAGGTATTCAATGAATACTCTAATAATTTTGATATAATCATTAATATATTATGATGTATCTTGAACAAATCATGACTATCATGAGACATAACCTCAATTCTAGTTCTTCTTTTTCTTCCTTTTGTCTTCGATGACACGTTATTTCATGGAGTGTCATCTGAAGACGTCTGTAGGCACGAAATTCTTTACATCCTCAGGCTGTCACTGAAAGAACTCATTTAGGACGATTACAGCGCTAAATTTACGCCTGATGATGTTCTTAGGTTGTAGAAAATAGAACGTCCTCTCCAGGCGTTTGGCGACACATTGAGGATGACCTTAGGCGAGTGTGTGCTATCTGGGTTCCATTGTCCCCTTACAACAATGTGCCGAAGTTACAACAATTCACAAAGTATTGATATATTTTCTCTCTCGCTGTCTCAATTCAAGCATAGACTATTTAGTGCCTTGAGGAACTAGTTCATATATATATATATATATTAGTTTATATTCTTTTCGAGTTATGTATAGATATAGGTATATATTTTTAGCGATCCAACTAATAACCATGTATTATTACATACACCTGTAAATGGGCGTAAGCCTGCTGGATGTAATAATATTAAATAAATAAATAAATAAATAAATAAATAAAAAACATTCTATAAACTCGCTTTGTTTTCATAGCCGCACCTACTTATAAGTTTCACAGCTTTTGTAGTCAATAAAAAGTGCTGGATTCCTGTGAAAGTTGAATGTTGAAATTGAAACTAGCACGTATGTGGGGAAAAATTGTGTCAACAATTAGGTAATTATGAAAAGTGATATGGACCATGTTGCCACAAGGCAAAGATGTGTCAGTTTCAGCTACTCACCATATAACCGGACTGAGTCCTCTGATCGTCCCATCGTGTTTTGGGCCATGCAGGTGAAAGTACCAATATCGGCTCTGGTCGCATTGTGAACAGTGAGCAGCATCACCACTTTGTATCCAGACCTCTTCTCCATTATTGTGTATTTTGGGCTGCATGAACAATTCATTCATTAGAATTTATTCCTCAATTACAGGAAAAAAAATTGGTATACTGGGGTTTCCGGAATTGGGGCGTACAATGAAATGGTTGATATTGGAGACGATGAAACGAAAGGATATGAATCATTTTTGTCAAAAAACGAATATTTTGTAGTTCGACTGACATATTTGTGAATCATTGATCGGATAAAATAGCTCAACCATAGCGTTTGCTTTCGACGAGATCACAAGCACCGGAAGTATCAGTAACTTTTGCAATTCTGCTGGACGTTCAGAAATAGTTAAAATATGTTTCAGGGTCGAAGCGCACATTGTTCGAAGATTTTTCACTCGTTACATCACTAGAGGTCAAATCATTTCCGGTAATTTTTTTCGAGTTCATGAATATTTACAAAGTCGAAAACGAGGGATAATTTTCAAAATATTCAGGTGCAAGAAAAAAATCCCAGAAAATATTTCAACCTCGTGTTGTATTCTTAAAAACTATCACAGATTTTGTGTAGAAATTAGATAATTTCAGAATTTTTTTACCTATTTGATTTTTATATAGGTTCATGGATGAGAAATGTAGTTTGAGTCGCAGTCTCGGCAGCAATAATAGTTTCCTAGTTCATTGGGGTTACTACAAGTCGTAGAAAATTATAATTGTATCAATTTATTCTTCATAGGTGAAGGTATAAACATGTACTAGTAGTAGGCAGTTGTATAAAAGGGGAGGCGGTCGTGAATCAAGTAGGCCCTCGTGGGCTCCTTTTGCTTAGCTCTGTTGCACACATATCGCTCTCCTCAGAAGAAAACAATCACAATTTGAAATTTCGCAAAGTTCGGTTTGTTACATCGAGAGACATTGAGTAATGGTCATTCAGTTCGTATACTGTTATTTCGCAGGTGCTATAATATATTTTCTTCAGATTTCTTCGCATTTCAGACCTTATTCTGAATTACTCCTATTTCCTTCTATTTGAAGAATCTCATCCAATTCGAGATTCTATTTCGAGTTTTATGAGTTCATGACTTCTACATTAGCGAAGAATTTATTAGGAATTAAAAAAATTGTTATTTATACACCAAAGTATATAGTAACGTATATCATCATTACCCAGTGACCGTAACATTATGTCCCGAGGATTCAGCCGAGAGGTATCAGGTCTCGTGGTAATGGTTTTCTTCACTATAACAAGGTGTAAATTACATATTTTTCACCATAGACGAGCGAATTTCGAGAGCAAAGTCGCTTAGTTTCTGAGATAAAAAAAACTGGCGTAGAACCAGGTAAAACCTGGTCCATTTCTTCAATTAGGTGGTCGTGTACACGAAATCACTTTTTACGACATTTTTTAGTGGTCGTGAACTTTTTAATTTCAAAAAACTCGAAAAAATCGATTAATATGTAAAACACGTTTTTTTACGTCTCCACCGTTATATCTCTTAAAGTAATTGTGGTTTTGGGGTGATTTTTTTTTTTAAATTAAAGAAGATTCAATAGCGGTTCTAACCACCTACTTTGTGATTTTGATATATTTTTATTCGATCTGTTGAAATGATAACAAACTTGACATCGATATTTTTGTAGATGTAAATTATAGCAATCGATAAAAAAGTTTATTATTGGAAATTTGTGTATACATTATGCGAACAAAATGGAGGGAATGTATGAAAAAAGTTTTTGGAATGATAATTTTTCATGTATGTATGTATGTATACAGTCAGCGATTTTAACAAAACGGGCTAAAATTGCGCTCGGGCGCGCCCGGCTCTCTTATTACCCAGTTTATGTCTGTCACATAGGTAGCAGATCCGTACGTACGTTATGGTCGGACTTCTGATGGGATTATACCTTTTATTGTTTATATTTCAAAATATTGAACTATCTAAATGATACATCAATCAATGTTTCAAACTAAATTCTTTCCTTTTCCTCCAGAATGATTATTTTATCATTTTTGACCGGAACTAAAAACGTATGCATAAAACAACTTTTATTTTTTTAATTATTCCAATAGATTAGGTACATCAAAAGTATTCAAGTTCGTCAATTTCTCCTATATCTTCCTCAGAATCTTCGGACATTATTACAAAAACGACATTTACAATCTTCACAACATTTTAGGCATTCTTTGAAACAACCACATTTTCGACTATCACAATTTTTATCCGAACAAAAGATACTTTATGATTGCCGAACAGAACCAGGAATTGGTTTATCATTCGAAAATATTGAAATCCAAACGTTGTTATTCAAATTCCATCCTGAACCATCTGTATTTATAAGTGGTGTTGTTAAGTTGCTACGTTGCTGCTGAACCATATTCTGAGTTGATACATACACCTAAAATTTTAATAGTCAACTGAAATATTGTCATCTTATTTTAATATAAATATAAGTATGTTCATAATGTAATAATGAATATAATTTTCACGTTCACCTTGAGAAGTGCTGGTAAAAGGCACCTTCACTTGGGGGAAGCTCTGCAGACGGTTTTTTTAAGAACGTCAAACGTCGATTTTTTTCCTATTTTGAAAAAACTACTAGTTGTGTCGCAACCAGTAGAACAATGAAGTGCCAACAGACAAGAACACATTGTAGGTCCTGAACTTTGCACTACTTTTTCAATTGAGATAAATCGTTTCGTAGTACCGTGTCCAAGATGCATAAATAAATTACTTTCTTTCAACAAAAAGAGTGGATGAGTAAAATCTGCTGAATTCAGTTTCATGTATAGCATGCAAAATAATCCTTGTATCTGCCTCTTCATGTTTGTTAAAAAATAGAGCCTTAACAATTTCCGAATGATGTTTATGCATTGGAACTACTTTTTCTGACATTTTGAATCCCCTAGCTGTCATCAATATTTCATTTTCGTTCAAGTACTTTGCAGCGTTTTGTATTCTGTTTGGAAAAATAAGAACTGACTGAATCTTTTTTTTTGCGACAGAATTTCTTCTGACCGATTGTCTTGTCTCCTCTCAGCACTAGCTATTAGTGACAACAATCCTTGTATTCTAGGTCTTTGTACCACAGATTCGTCATCATTCCGCACAATATTTCGACAAATAATACACTCCATTTTCTCAGAGAACTATAAATATCGGAGCATGTAGATGTTACGCTGAATGCCGTTTACATCAAACTAATCCAGCCTCGTCTTCCGGTGGCGCGTGCCGATATTGAGCGAGCAATAAAAAAATCATTGTTGCTAAACTATACAAAATGGGGGAAAAATAATCAGCTCAAAAACTTCTATCATATATGGGCTTCATTTGTTTCGCTACATGTATACAAAAATTTCCAAAAATAAAAAAGTTTATCGATTGGTGCAAATTGTAATGCATAAATTCTGAATTCCATGCTCTCTTGATTTTTGAAAAATGAAAGAAGAAAATTTTGTAAAATCCATCGGTACTGTTAGAAGCGCTATTGTGTTTAGTTCAACCTAGAGAAAAAAACACTTCGATATCTTCATTGATTTCAAAGATATGACGGTGGAAACAAAAAAAAATACATTTTATTTAAAGTGCATTTTTTTCAGTTTTTTCTCAGTTAAAAAGTTCCAGACCACAGAAAAATGTCGTAAAATACGATTTCATATACCTAGTGATATGGTCAACAAAACCTACCATGTCTGACCTGGTTCTACGTCAGAAAAAAAAACGACACGATAGGGTCTCGAATTTACTACACTAACCACTAACCGAATAACCTGGACCTATTGTCACTATGAAAGCATTTATTCTCAATTCTCATTGGAATCTACAAGTCGTTATTGATAAATAGCTAGTGAATTGGAGTGCCATTCCTGCTGATCTCGCATCAGAATAGTGAATTGGGGTTAATTATAACAGGAGTGGCTGTGTCTTCATTGACTGGAAGCTTCTGAGATTACGAAAATTATCATGGTTGAAAAAACACACCATACGCCTTGAGAATTAGTAAATAATGGAAGGTTATATACCGGGTGACACAGGCTATCGGGCCACCCCTGTAACTTCTGCATTCGTCAACGGATTTTTCTGAAATTCGGTACAGTTATATAAGCAACTATTTCGGATTTGATCACATTACAATCCAATATGGCGGACTTCCGGTTTTTCTGAAAATGCCAGCAATTTTGTTTTTTCAAATGGAACACCCTGTATATTTTCACATATTCAAGTTCAACAGGTCAAAACAAGTGCAATCTTGATGTCAAATGTCATTTATTCCACAGCCTACTTAGTTGAAAAATTATTCTAACTGCAAGGAAATTCATAAACTATAGTTGTTGATTTTTGAATGTTGAATGTATACAATTTGTTACTGCACCGAAAAACAAAAATGATATGTCATTTTGTTCCTTAATGTAGGTTCTAGAGAGATGGGTAGGTGGCCCATAGGGGTTCCATTTGAAAAAAAATAATTTTTAATCAAAAAGTAATGTGGCTGAATTGATTCCTGGATAAGTGACACAAATGATGATTTTTCAGAAAAAATTATGTTCTTCTGTTATGTGTGACTAATTGTGAATAGTCTTGACCACATCTCATTTATCCACGAGGTGAAATGAAAAAACAATTTTAATTCAATTTTTTTCGAAAAAATGACATTTGAAATGAAGATTGCACTTGTTTCGACCTGTTGAACTTGAATTTGTAGAAATATACAGGGTGTTTCATTTGAAAAAACAAAGTTGCTGGCATTTCCAGATATACCGGAAGTTTGCCATATTGGATTGTATAATGTGATCAAATCCGAAATAATTGCTTATATAACTGTACCGAATTTCAGAAAAATCCGATGACGAAAGCAGAAGTTACAGGGGTGGCCCGATACCCTGTGTCACCCGGTATATAGCTTGTGGTGGATAATCTTCTTTTCCATACTGTTTTTCGATTCTGAAAATCTTCAAATTGAGTTTTATGATGTGCCAATCAACGTATTTGTACCAGAATATTGGCGTCAATTTCGAAGATAATTTCTGTCATATAATTTTTTTTTCGGTGAAATTCGACTGGAACCGGATACTCAAGAATTGAGATCAATCCTAATTTCTTTCCACTTTTAATTCATTTACTAGAATGAAATGGTGAATTATGTTCCTTCACCTGAATTTTGAATGTTCCGTTCTCAACATTTCACTTGTACGTAAATCTTTATTAACAGAGATATGGCATTGTCTAGCACCAAGTAGGTATTCGTATAGTGCTTCTTGAAAGTCTTCTTTCTCCTCTAATCTTTGGAACGATGATACCTAAACAAGTAGAATTACGAAACTCTATAGGCAATTGTAACCAATATTTTTGAATGGTACTTTACGACAAGTGACTTCTCTTTGAAAAAGTATCGGAAAAACCCATTCAGGGATACTGATTCTGTTTGTGTTCATGTCAGTTCTGGCAACTTGCTTTCAAAAAAACACGAAGTTGTGATGCATCGAACCAGTTGATACTGCAATTTAAAATTCATGGTTCGCCCCTGGATAGTTGTCAAATAATCTGACTTTCTCTTAGAACCCGTTATTTGACGCTCATGTAATTGTCCAAGTATTTGAACCTTCCATAATTTGTATACGGTTGATCGAACCTTCATCTGTTATAGCAGCTTTTGGAACTTTTACAATTTTTTTCTACTCCCATTACTAAAATGGCATTTAGCGTACGGATCGCTGAATGATCGATTGATCATGGACTGACGATCTGTGCTTTATACATAATATTGAACACGTTACCATGGCAACACAATTTCTCAAACATATTACCATGGCAACAGGGTTTTTTGAACACCCTTCCAGGCGTCCTGTATTGTCCAGCTTGTCAATTGTTGAAACTGTCAACTATCATTTTCTAATTTTGTTGCGATCAAAAGCATTCAAACAACTTCTGTTAGTATCAAAACTCTTCATCAAAAATGTATGCGAAATGAAAACGAGAGTGAAATCGAAGAGAATAATTTAGATAAGTATTTCCAAGAATTCTATAGGTGAAAATGAAGCTTTTATATTTGTGGGCAATAGAATCTATGTTGAGCATGACAATCAACTTGAAGCACAATATTCATGTTAGCAAAATTATGCAATCATTATATGGATTCCAAACTGAGAAATCGAAAACTTTGACACTTCAGCGAATGGAAGAAATGTATCTACTATACTCAATAGAAATGTATCTATCCTATGAACTGGGCGAATATAACTCATACGTGTTCCGTTGTTTGCATGCAATTGCATAGTATTATGTATTATTGAATATATATTTGTGAACAGAAGAGAAGGATCTTCCACAGCAGTTGGAAACACATACTTTCTTCCTGTTTTGCGATTCGCATTTGCTCATCCAAGGAGTGCCAAGAGATAGTATACAGATTAAACCCTACAACTATCATATTCGAAGATTTTATTCCACCTCGTATAGTTGAAGCTATAGGTAAGGATCAAAATATGAGGACATCCTGTACATACTCCATTTCCGAAAGTCTTCTTTTGATTTCAAAATACATCAATAATGACATAAGTATTGGTGATACCCAGATAGCACTAGATATTTCATGAATCTCCTTATCAAATTTTTTTTGGAATATTAGGATATCCTAGGCATATTGTGATTCATTCTAGAACATTTGTGAAATATTCTCTAATTTTATGCAGATGAGAATTCCCCAGATATTCAGAGAATATGTCCAGAAGAATATTTTTGTTCCTGGCATATTCCATTGAAGATAATTAATATAAAATGAAAAATGACCCAAGATAAGATCGGATCCGAGACATCTATAGACTATTTCACTATTGAACCAGTAATCGAATCAAATGATGTTGTACAAATCGATTTATTGTTAGAGCGTTGTTCAGAATCGAAATATAAACACTTTTCCTCTCAAAACTCCTCACATATAATTGATGGTTGATACTCACATCTCTGAAATGATGATTGGTGTTTATGTCTTGAGGAACTTGAAAATATTCATGAAATATTTCATAAATAATATATTGTACAGAATATTGAGTTTGAAATATTTCATGAATATAGAACACATAATATCCAGTTGGGAATATTTCTGGAACATGTATACCCGAATATTTCCTATATCACTTCGGAATATGTCACTGAAATATTCGCATTGGGCTATTCCTCAGATGTTCCAGAGGCATGTTTATATTCTAGGCATATTCAGTTAATATTCGGAATATACTCCTCTCAGAAAGCATATTCGAAGAATATTCTAGGAATGTTCAGTGTCGTCTGGGTAAATTGTTTCAGGGTTGAAATAGGAGTGTGCTTAAAATCTATTTTACAATCATGTGGTTCGACTCATTCTCTCACCTCTTGAAGAGCATTTCTTCCCCTTTGATCCAGAAGTTATTGGAATTCGGAGAAGCTTCAACGTCACATTTGAGTTTCACGGTAGATTGAGGAACCACCCCAACGAGTGATTTTTGGACTTGCACCAGTGGTGGAACTGAAACAATTTCAATTGTTACTAGCTGACCCGGCAAACATTGTTTTGCTATACATATACATTCAGTATTCCTAGAAAATATGTTTTCAGTTAAATAGTCAACAAGTCAACAACACACTCTTAATATTTCATTATATACTCCTTGACCATTGATGCGTGTTTCATCACTTTTTTGAACTACAATTCATTCTTTACTTCTTTTCAGATTGACTATCTATAGAAGCGTGTTTCATTAGATTTTCGAAACACTATTTAATGCAAAGTTCGTTCGACATATTGAATCCGCCATCTTGAATTGCCTAATCTTGACGAAAGAATCATAATCTCTGACCCCATAACCCCCAATTACCAAATTTGAATAGAATTGGATTATAATTACAAAACTCGTTAGCCATAATATAGGATATGCCATCTTGAATTTCTCAACTTAATTTTCCATAAGAACTTTCTGACAATAACAAACATAACAGAATAAGAATAAGTGAAATCGGTCCAGCCATTCACGCGTGATGGCATGACCACGGAAAATGTGAATCCATTTCTATATACAGTGTGGAGACTTTAACTGGAATAAACTCGTTAGTGGGGTGGTCGATATTTTTTCTGGGAATTCACGACGTACGTCAACGATTTAACGTATTCACCTACTTTGTGCAAACGATATCGATGATATATCTCTCCAGGAGTGGCTGACACCATCCCCAACATGATTTTTCCAAGGGTTACCCTATGGCTTGTGACTCCTTATTGGGAAGCTGGTGGAAAGAGGAATCCAGCATAATAGTCTGATTTTAGTTTCTCATACGTTTAGATGTTGCATGAGATTTGAATATAATCAAACATTTTCTTCATCGTTTCAATCACTCAAAATGTGTGTTGAACAATTGATGGAAATTTGTTCATACAACTGCTATCTGCTTTTGTATTCCAGTGTTTCTATAGAGCCGCGAGAATAAATTCAGTTTTTTTGCTGTATTCACAGTTTGAAACGAAATATTATTGCATCCTGCGGTTAAAATGCCTTGAATTACTGTCACCAAAAGTCAAAGTGGAGATGAAAATCCGTTGAAAATATATTGAACTTAGGAATTAGATTTTGATTTCATGCGACCCCCAAACGTATTGCGAACTGAAATATGATCAGTACGCTAATCTCCTCTTTCAACCAGTTTTCCAACGGGGAGTCGCAAGCCCTAGGGTACCATTGAGGAAAACATGTTGGGATGGATGCCTGCTACCCCTGAAGGGTCACATTCTCCATATTGCTTGCCAAATGTAGGTGAATACATTTAAACATCGACGTGTCTCGCGAATTTTCAGAAAAATCATCCACTCCCCCAGAAGCGAATTCAATCCAGTTGAAGTCCTCACACTGTATGTACTAGCTGACTCGTCGAACGTTGTTTTTCCATACAATTTTCTCCTAGAGAATATTTTCCTAGTTAAACATTCATCAACACACTTCAATCATTTCATTATCAACTTCTCTTCAGTTTGGCTATCCATAAAAGCGTGGCTCATCAGTTTTTCCAAACTACTATTTTTTATTTTCCACTTCTCTTCAGTTCGACAATCTATCTCTCTATTTTTTCACGAACTACTCTCTATTTTCTTCTCACTTCATTTAAGTTTGGCTATCTATAGATATATTTTTGAACTACTATTTATTGCAGAAGCTGACCCAGCGAACGTTATTGTTTCATATACATTTATTGCTAGAAAATATAAGCTAAATATTTATCAAACACATTCTCATCATTTTGTATTCAACTTCTTTTCTGATTAACTATTCAAAGAATCATATGGTAACTACTATTTGTTTTCTACTTCTTTTGAGTTCTACAATCTAACTCGTTTTCCATACAATTCTACAAATATTTTACTCTTCGTAAACGTGTTTCATCATAGGTGTTTGAACTACTCTCCATCACGGAGCTTATCCTCCATAATCAATATGTCTTCTTGAATTTCCCAATTCTGAAGAGAAAAATCACAATCTACGACCTCGAACATCCCCAGGTACAAATTTTGAATAAAATCTGACCATAATTTCAGAATTCGTCTGCCATATTGAATCCGTCATCTTGAATTTCCGAATCTAAATGGAAGAATCATAATCTTTGACTAAGAAAACCTCTAGATACTAATTTTGAAAAGAATCGGACCATTTAAAAAGTCGTTCGCCATATTGGATCCGCCACTATGAATTCTCCAATTTTGACGAACCAATCATAATCTACGACTCCGGAAACCCTCAGACACCAATTCTAGACAGAATCGAACAATAATTACAAAACTCGTACACTATATTGGATTCGCCATCCCAAATTCCCAAACTTCGACGAAAGAATCATAATCTCCGAATCCTTCATCTTGGATTCTCATATTTCCATGAAAGAATGATTATGTTCAACATCAGGAACACCCGAATACTGATCTTGAATAAAATCGGGTCATAATTACAGAACTCGTCTGCTATACTGGATCCGCCATCTTGAATTTAAAATTTTTTTTGAAAAATTCATGATCTTGGACTGCGAATACTCCAGATATCAATTTGAGTAGAATCGTACCTTAATTGAAGAACTTGTATGCCATATTTTTTTTATAATATATAATTTCAACCATAATCTCTGACCCCAAAAACCCCAGATACCAATTTTGGATGAAATCGGATCACAAAACTCGTCCAACATATTGGATCTGTCATCTTGAATTTTCAATTCGAACAATAGCTTACGACTGAACCGAATACGCACAAAAACTTTCATACGAATCGTTCGAGCCGAAGGAGTTTGGTATCAAACACTGTGACAGTGACAGGAGAATTAGATAGAAGAGTGTATAAACTATGGAAATCAACAATTCTACAATATGCATGAATGATAGAGAGACTCCAAGTCGGTCGACCACACTCTTTATCACAAATACATCAAAATATGACAGGTTTTGGCATAATGTCCATCATCAGACTGAAGACTGGAAATACATTATGAATGTTAAAAAAATATATACCGGGTGTCCCATTTTAATCTTTATTCGGATTTTTCTCGAAATGTATGCATCTGACAAAAATTGCCGAATAAAAGTTGTATGGTTTCGAGGGGGACATCTGGTTATAAAACAAGTTTCACCCCCTGATCCCCAGGGGAGTGGGAAATGGAGGTAACATTGAAATCTTTAATGGAAACCCCTATTTTTTATTGCAGATTCTGGAAGAGCATTGAAAACTATGAAGCTTTCATTCGGGAACTTCTTTTTTATTTCAACAAGATGGCGCTGCGATCTTGAGAAACGATATTTTACTATTTAGTTTGTAGTTGGGTGACTTTTTATCATTAAAAAGATATCAAGCAGTTCGAATCAACACATTTCAACACCCTGAAGACGAGGAAGAATGTAGGGTGTGAAATTCCCAGACAATCGCCGTTGGGGTGATATTTTTATTGCAAATTCACACGGTGAGTGATAATTTTCATTGTATGGCAACACCATGTGAAAACAATTTCAATCTGTCACTGTCTCGTGATGTCTCATTATTTACTGAAGAGATTGTAAATATAATTATGTGTGTCGAACGTGCGGATGGTATTTACTAAGAGGCTGAGCGCGAATATCGACGTCGTTCTATGTAGAGGTGTCAAGGTAAGTAAATTCGTTTAGAGTTAATTTGTCGTGTGAATATCACCCCTATGGCGTTTGTCTGGGAAAATATCACACCCTACACTCTTCCTCGTCTTCAGGGGGTTGAAATGTGTAAATAGTAAAATATTGTTTTTTACGATCGCAGCGCCATCTTGTGAAAATAAAAAAGAAGTTCCCGTTTGAAAGCTTCATAGTTTGTAATGCTTTTCCAGATTCTGCAATAAAAAATTGGGGTTTCCATTAAAGATTCCAATGTTACCTCCATTTCCCACTCCCCTGGGGGTCAGGGGGTGAAACTTGTTTTATAACCAGACGTCCCCCTCCAAACCATACAACTTTTGTTCAAGAAATTTTTTTGTCAGATGCAAACATTTCGAGAAATTTTCAAATAAAGATTAAAATGGGACACCCGGTATAAGGTGAAAGAATAAAACAAACCTGGTGAGGAAAAATAGTACTATTGCAATTACAGTGAATATACTAACATTCGTTATGTGCTGGATTCAGTAACATTTTTTATAGTGGCTGGAGAGCCCGAAGAATCTGACTGATGAGATTCAACATTTCCAAAAAGAGTTTTGAACGTTTTTCATCGATCACATGTTGAAATTGCAGAATGTAAAAGACATTGTAAAATATAGATATATGGAAAAACAATCTGCCGATGATAACGGCATTGACATATTGAATACATGGAACAAATGACAGGAATATAAAATTGGTGTCAGTGTCAGAGGAAACAAATATCCTTAACGTAGGAATCAATATTGGGAAAAATATAAAGAATAAAAAGAAAAGGATATATACTTATTTGTCCAATATTGGCGGCGTTACAATTGGTAAAACCTAAAATAAATCTTCATAATATGGTCCAAGGTAAATTGATCAACAGCAATTTGATTCATTATATCGAGAAATGATCTTCGCGGCGTATTTATGAGGAAATTATTGGTTGAAGTTGAACGGAATAACAGTGTCAGTTGAGGTTGGTTCTCTGTATACTTCAAATTTTGATCTGAAAGTACTTGGATTTTATCATGAGCAAATCTCAGGAAGGGTGAAGAAACATTAGATTCAGACTCAAATGTGAATTTTATATTGGAGTAAAGAGAAATAATGAAGTGAAGAAAATCAGATACGACCGAGGGGAAGTCGTCAAATAGTAGTAGACAGGCAATTACATATGTGTAATAAATGGTCAAAGAAGTATTGTCTGCAACTTGTTTTACAATATTGTTCCGCTAAAAGGAGGTCAATCCATCAACCATATTATATTCCTTGAACAAAAACAATATGAGTTTCTGAATACCATTTTTCATTTGAGCCCTTCATATTCGATATACAGGGTGTCAAAGTTGGAAA